TGAAATATCAGTTATAAAACCACACTTGGTGGCTTACCCCTAGAATCCTAGTGCTCAGGAGGATTGCAAGTTGAAGCCCAGACTGGGCTATGTAGTGAGACCTTGTCTCAAAACAAAGTTATAGAAACAAATGAACCCAATGTTCATTCCAAACCCATTTCACTTCAATTCTATGTTTGAAAAAAGAGGAGTTTTCTTGATCCAGGGTCTTGCTACATAGCCCAGGCTGACCTTGGACTTGGTGCCACCACACCCAGCTATCTTTGAAAGTTCTATAATTTGAATGTCAGCCTCAAAAAGAGTCTCAGATTTAGAACTTTCATTAACACAGGTACTTCAAACTGGGTGTGGTAGCACACACCTTTAATCCCAGCACTCAGAGCAGAGGTAGACCACCTCTATGAATTCCTGGCCAGTCTGGTCTACCTAGAGTTTCAGGCTAGCCAGGGCTACATAGTGAGACCCTGACTGGGCTTCATTTCTTTTCTTATCCCTGGTCAAAGTTCCCTCAAAATTCTTGCCATTTTACAGTTAAGTCATTGGTCAAGCATACTACCATACTGTTTCAGTTAGGTTAGTGTCTTATCTTCTAATAGATTAGGCTTCTGTGTCCCCAAGTGAAACTGAATATAAAAGAAATACAGAATTTCTCTTATTACAAACTTAGGGCTTGCCATCTTGGAAAATAGTTGGCTTCATTTTAAAATCTAATTAATGCTTGACTGCCTGGTCATCAGTCATCAAGGCCAAGGGATCAGCCTGACTCTGCCTCCTCCAGCACTGCAAATATATGCACATGCTGCTTTGCCTAGTTTGGGATTAAACTCAGGCCCTCAGACTTGCATGGCAAGCACTTAACCAACTGAGTTGAACCCCAGCCCCTCTCTAGGGGTTTTATTGTTCATTTATTTTTATTTTTTAGGTATATGTTTTATAACGTGTGTAATTATCTGCAGAGAACAGAAGAGAGCTTCAGATCCCTTGAAAGTGGAGTTAACAGTTTTTAGCTGCCATATGGGTGCTGGGAACTCAACCTGAGTCCTCTGCAGGAGCAGTCAGTACTCTTAACTGCTGAGCCATCTTTCTAGGTCCATTTTCTAGAGGTTTTTAAACTGTCGCCTAATTGATTTCCAGAAAATATCATTAGCAGGTGTAATAAAACCTTGAAACTCTGACACCTAAATTCCTTTCTACTTAACAAAAACGTACTGCGTAAAGGCTGTTCAAACTAAAGAAATGCTTGTTAAACAAGTGGATTTTCTGGTACCTTTTCTCATCTCCTAGGTCCACTGTGCTTTAAGGCAAACTAAATAGCCCACAAAAAGGTATTAATAATGGTAGAAATAACCAACAAAATCTGAGAAAAAGTGTGTAGTACTTAGGGAAAAAAAGATGGATGCTTCATTCTGGGACACTTCTAAGACGCAGTTATGGAGAAGTAATGGGCTGGTTCAAGTTTCTTTTTAAATTTCAATGTTATTAATTTTACCTTAGTTACCTTATTGTTAGAACACTAGCTATAGCAGTTCATACTTACACTAAGCTATGTGTCAAGCTCTGTACATCTACCCATAACTCTAGTATTTATCTCTTTTATGCAGTTCAGTTGTCTTGAACTCACTGTATAGCCAAGGATAATCTTGAACTCCTCCATCTCCCAAGTGTTGAATTACAGGCATGTGTAATGTACATATAGTTTTAAGTTCTATTTTTTTATTTCTTCTTTTTGAATTTATTTTTACGTACATTAGTGGCTTGCCAGCATATGTGTAGGTGTACCACAGTAACACGTGTGCAAGCCAGCCATGGTGGTACACAACAATCCCAGCACTTGGGAGGCAGAGGCAGGTGGATCCCTGTGACTGGTATATATAGTGAGTTCTAGCTGGAGCTATGGGGAGATCCTGTCTCAAAAACAATCCCTGTGTTCATGTACATGTGTATATGTACATACTTTTGTGAGTATATGAGCAAAGGTATGCATATGTGGAGGTCAGAGACAAGCTCAGGCGTTTTCTGTTGCTGTCCACCTTATTTGAGACAGAGTCTCTTGTTCAATGCTGTGTATGCCAGGCTTGCTGTCTCAGGCTTCCAGAGATTCTCGTGTCTCGGTGTCCCATCTTGAGCCCTCTGAGATCACAGATGCACATATCTGACTTTTGAGTGGATTTGGGGGTGGGGGAAGTTGAACTCAAATTCTCACATTTACATGGCAAGCGTTCTCTCCACACCCACTCTGTCATCTACCCAACCCATTAGTACTGTCTTATCCCTGTCTCCCCTCCCCTAGGCAGCCAAGAAGATCAAACTAGGACCTTGAGTATACTAGGTAAAAGCACTCTATTACTAACCTATACACCCCTTATCCCTGTTTTACTAAGGATAAAACAATTAAGAAATTAGCCAAGGTCATTCAGCTCTATCTTAAGTGGCAGACTAGACCAAGACCATCTGATTCCCAAGTCTGTGCTCCTAACCATTCCCTACATGACCCTTCAAAATAAGATCAATGGAGCATCAGCTCCATGAAGGGGAGACTGTTGAATGTGCTGCCTTGCCCCTTCAGTCTTAGCAAAGAGTGGAAGTGGAGAAAAAGACAAAGGTAGTAGTGCTCATGGGCAAGTAAACCAAAGGTGTCTCCCTCTACAGAGTCCTAAAGCCTGAAAAAAAGGCACTTACTCAGAAAAGCCTTTCCACTTCAACAGATACTCCACTTGCCCCTTAACCACGCGCCTGTCTAACACCTTTTCCACGACATACTCCTCCTCATCCTCTGAAGAAGAACTATCGGCTGTCCTCTTGGTTTTCTTTCCCATGTTGCACGCTGCTCCACCTGAAGGACTAAGGCCACCAGGATCCTGCAAAGGGGAGAGAAAATGGTTACAATCCACTCAAGGAGTAAAACTGTCACTTCTTGATGGGACGGATGGTATAACACAAGTAAGCCGCATACCCTTCTCCTGGGTCTACAGTTACTTTACAGAAGCCTAAAACTTTCATTTAAAATTAACTTAATCAAGCCTTACTTCCCTAGCTACAACTTTCTCTTCAGTTGAAGAGAACAAAATTATGAGATGGAACAATTGTCTAACTCCTCTCATTTCACATTCCAAAAATTAAATAGCACAGTATGTTTCTACTGACCACTTCTGTGTCCATTTATGAGCCAGGAGCTCAAAAAGAAATGTGGAAAACCTTCAGTTAAATGAACCACGACAGAATGAAAATCTTTTCCTCCGAGGTGTATAAAGATTTTTATAAAAAAGGGAAAAAATACTCCCAAATACCAAATATAACTTTTCTGTACTCTGAGCATCTTGACCAGTTTCTTAGCACAACAGAAGGCCTGCTGGGGCATCTTTCACCACATTTCCAGTGACTCGGTACATTTCCCTTAAACAACCTGATCTTGTCCCTTCAGAGCATCCATCAAGCTCACAAAACCAAGAATGACATCTCAAATACACTAAGCCTCCTTTTCAGCAAGCTCATATGGGGACAGAAGGGAAGAGAGGAGTGGAAAAAAAAAATCAAAATGAGTCACTGGACTATTCTGTAATTCCCAGAGCTCAACTAACCCAAATAGTTGAGGAAGCTCTCAAGTTGACTTTGGGCCAAATGAAGAGGAGAAGAAAGAAGTCTGGCCCCAGACTCTGCATCAACATGAAGACTCCTCAAAACACACAGCAACCATTCATCGGCCACAGGCCCCAGGCAAACCCAAGCAAGGCAGCACAAATGGAAACTGAGTTAAGCTCAGAAATATGCACATCAGGGGGTGCTCAAAAGAGAACCTAGTTTTCAAAATTCCCACACTGTTGTTGCCATAATCACTTTTAAAGAAGTCTTCCTTAAGCGTGTTCAACGGTGCCTATAGCCTGGATTACAAAATAGCAGGAATTGTTTCCTTGGCTGAATCCCATTGTTACTTTGCTATAATCTTTAAAGATGTTTTCAGTACTCTCTAAAATCTTCCCACCTTGATCAGAAAGCCAATTTCAGGAATAAGAAGGGTTAAGCATAAAAAGTTGCATTTATCATTTACTCCGATTTACTACATTTTAAGAAATCATTACAAGAATAGTGTCAGAAACCCTATCTCTAGAATTTAATAGCAGCAATAGGTATGCCCACTCAGAAACTGCTTGTATTCATTCCTAGCCTTTAATAAACTAAGTTTTTGTTATAACACTTTATTTGGGAAAGGAAGCATGGGGGAATGTATGTAAACGTTTTAAAATAATCTTTCCATGAATTTAGAAGAGATTCCTAGGTTTCAAAAAATGTAACTGATAAGGTTTATTTAAAATAGTAGCAGCCTCCGACCTCACCAGAGACAGGAAATGTCATATTCCAGAGAGAGTACCCCACCCCCACCTCACTCACCTTGGAATTTCCGGGAGCTGAGCAGTTTAGGTCAGAGCGCTGGGTTAAAACCAGCCCCATGTTGAAAGCATGCAGTTAGGCATTGTGGTTATGGCCTCCCCTGCCTCACCAGAAAAACAAGGATTTACATATGTGTTCTTCAGTTTGAGGGAGGAAGAAAATCTTCCCTTATACCTTCATGCGGAAGAGACACCCTCAAAGTAGGTGCATGGGGGTTCCCTCCTTTACCTACCGGATCGCCCCAGTTCTTTCTTTCCCTCTGGGCTAACAGGAGGGGCCTCCCCTCCCAGGTCTGGGGCTTGGCGGGCTGGCAGCTCCCCCGCCCCCACCCAGCTGCCTGGGCGCCACTGCGCAGCTGTCCCAGTCCGTTACCATGGCAACTGGCAGCCGTACTAGACAAGTGGGGGGAGAGGCAAATGGAAAAGTTAAAAGGCTTAACTTTCCTTTTCAGCGAAGACTGGGTGAAGAAGTTGGAAGGTACCTCCCTAGGCATCAAGGCTAAGGCATTCGGACCTCAAGGGTGTGAGTTCTTTGGTTTCAAATCCAAAACTTAGGCTTATTCCTCTAGAAGCACTGTGAATTAATCAATAGCATTTTAAGACCACCTAACAAGATTACAGCTCACAGGAAGGGGGAGGGGCAAGTTAGCTCCATCGCCAACAGATCAGTACAAACCACCCCTAGTCTAGTAGCCACAAGCATTTGGACAAGGTCTTTTTCACCACCTGTCATTACAGCTAATTAAAACTGTTTGGGAGAGAGAAATATTTTAATGATACTATATAACTTTTCTTGTTTGAGAGAAATTACACGGCCCTAGACTCCAAAGACAGGAGACTAACAGAACTGTTTTCTCTTCGGAAGAGATGGGTACTGAGGATGGAATCCAAGGCCTTCCACACACAGGCCACTGAGCTACATACATCCCCTACTCCACCAAGAGCCTTTTAACTCATTTACAGGTGGGAAAAATTAATCCCCTACCAGTTCAGAGAGAGAAAGCAGCACATTGGCCACATCCGTTATGGTTAAATTTAAAATATGTCTTGTTAGTTATTTTTATATTATAAAACATTTCTTAGTAACTATTACCCTCTGGTACATTATAATGTATAACTTTAATAATCCCTGATACTTGAGGAAAGGCCATGATAAAACAGAGACCATTAACAGCAGGTAGAGACAGGAGGATCAGGACTTCAAGGCCAGCCTGGGCTACATGAGACTGTCTCAAGAAAACAGCGATTAAGATACATAAATAGTCCTTTCATCTGGCTCTAACAAACAGTTTAGAGAGCTAACCAAGTGCTCTACCACTGAGCTACACGCTCAGCCCAAATGGAGACTGGTTCCATACAGTGAGGACAAGGGACAATCAAAATTAAAGGACTCCAAGTCAGCACATCACAGAGGCACTAGAGCACCAGCACTATCTATAGCTAAAGTATAGAACCAACCCAGGCGTTCAACAGAGGAATGGATAAAGAAAATGGAACTGTTTTGAAACATAAATAACAAAGTTATAACATTTGCACAAAAATGGTTGCAACTGGAGAGAATATCAAGAGAAGCCAGTCTCAGAAAGACAAATATGATTTTTCTTTTTCATTCATGACTCCTAGATACAAAAGATGATGTATGTAGAACTAAAACTGTTTAGGGGGACTAACTAGAGGGGTGCGAAACAAGGGTAGGAAGGGATGAGGGGGGATTATGCTTAACATACACACACAAAAATTTTTAGAAAAAGAAAAGGCTAGGCATTGTGGCACATGCCACTTGGGAGGCAGAGGCAAGCTGATCTCTGTGAGGCCTGGTCTACATAGTTTCAGGCTAGCTGGGGCTACAGGGAGACCCTGTCTCAGAGAGAGAGAGAGAGAGAGACAGAGAGAGAGAGAGAGAGAGACAGAGACAGAGAGAGAGAGACAGAGAGAGAGAGAGAGACAGAGAAGAGGCCAAGTGTGGTGGCACGTGCTTATAATTCCAGCACTCAGGAGGCAAAAGCAGGTGGATAACCTGGTCTATGTAGTGAGGTCCAGGCCAGCCAGAGTTATATAGTCAAGACTCCTGTCTCTAAAGAAAAGCATAAAAAAGAAAAACCTCAGGCAGAGAACGGTGATAATTCTGGCTATCAAACAGAAGTAAGAGCAAGCACAAGGAAGCTTTTGTTTTTGTGGTACTGTGGACTAAACCTGGCACATACCACATTGGTAGACAAGTGCTCCACCACTGAGCAATATCTCCAGGCTATTTAATTTTGAGACACGGTCTCATTAAGGTGCCCAAACAGTTCCTAAACTTACAATCTTCCTGCCAAGCCTCCTGAGTAATCAGCCTACACTCAACTAGCAACACCTCGCCACTGCCTCCCAGAGTGTTTTTTTATTTTTTAACTTTTTTTTGTTACTTTGAGCCTGGCAAAAGCAAAAAAAAAAAAAATTTTTTTTGATCTTTTTGACACAGGGTCTCCTGTAACCCCAAATGGCCTGAAATTTGGCTATGCAGACCAGGCTGGCCTCTCAGAGATCCACCTGCCTCTGCCTCCTGAGGGCTGGGATTAAAGGCATGTGTCATGAGGCCTGGCCTTGGTGTCCACTCTTTCCCCTTATAAAACATCAGGAAATTGGGGCTGGAGAGATGATTCAGTGGTTAAGAGCACTGGCTGCTTTTGCAGAGGACCCAGGTTGATTCCCAGCTCCCACATGGCAGCTAATAACTGTCTGTAACTCTAGTTCCAGGGAATCCAACGCCCTCTTCTGAGCTCCATAGGCATTACACAACATGGGTACACTTACATATATGCAGGCAATACACTCATACAAAAAATAAAACATCAGATCAACTTCCTCATCCTGAAGGGCACCAGGCTGAGGTCACTTCTCTGTGGGAAACAGGCTTTTTTAACAGCTGACAAATCAAATTGGGTCTGATGTCAGGAGTCGGAGACCAACCATAATATTCTTTAAAGAATGGCATGCAAGTGCCTTGTAAATCTCTGGACAGTCACAGATCAGAAGCTGACAAGGGTGGCGACACGGTGCTGACGGAATGTGTCTTATCCTAACCTTCAAGTTACAGATCTGCTCAGGAGCAGCAGTAAGAAATGAGAAATGCACCCAGACACGAGAAGGGACATACTTCTCTTTTAGACAGTGCAACCCAGTGTATTAGGGTCAAATGAAACACAAAGCCAGACGGACAATTTAAGGACTAGTGCCTGGACCAGATAAAGCATCAAGACTGGTGGTTCACACTCATAAGCCTGAGAGGAGGGAACATTCTGGTATGAGAAATGAGATACAGTTGGCAGGATGATGGAATGATTCAAGTAGAATCCAAGATACTATGGCAGAGGAAGAGGGTGAGCAACCTTATCCTTATGGAAATCTTCAAAGGAAGGAGTGAGGAACTTCTCAAGTTTCTCAAGCAAGGCAACTTTCAGCCTCCTCTTGAATACAGACAGTGCTCTCTGGTAAAAGGTTTATTCATTGTAGACCGGAGAGTCAGAGCCCAGAAGGGCAAAGAAAAGAACAGCCCCAACAACCTTCCCACCAGCAACACGAGGCAAAGTCACCTCATGGACCTCTAAGCCAGACATGTGAACAGAAGCCAGTTTTAGAAAATCATCAAAGAACTTTGTGGTGAGACAGAGTCAGACTCACATTCCAATCACTGACAAGGGATTCTTAACAGATTAATCTTTGAAACAAAGGCATGGGGATGGAGGGAGAGAATCCTATACACTGTAAAAGAAACAACTTTGGTCCCTGCCAACCCAGAACAGTGGATGTAATGGCCATTGGCTTTATCTACTTACAGAGCCAAAATACCTAGCTTGCCACTCAGCCTCTATTTTTCAATACCAGCTTGACTTTTCTTTCTTTTTTTTTTTTTTTTTTCCTTTGGTGTTTTTGAGACAGGTTCTTCCTGTACCCCAGTGGCCTATAACGTGCTGGCCAGGCTGGCCTCTATCTCACAGAGATCCATCTGCCTCTGCCTCCTGGGCACTGAGAGCGTTGGGATTAAAGGTGTGTGCCCCCCACGCCCAGCTGCCCTGGCTTTTCTTAAAGGATTCTGGTATAGCATACACATTTGGTTTCCATTACCGATTAAAGGACAAAAGCCTTAATGGATGAAAACCACCTGATGACTACTTCACTCAAATCACCAAATTATTTGGAAGTGGTGTCCAGATGCATAATCAATTAACTCTCCATTTCCTGCCTCCACCTCCCTAGTTCTGGGGTAATAGGCGTACACCTCACACTCAGAGAGAAACACTCTCATTTCTCCTCAGACCCTTGGGAAAGACAGCAGTTTAGAGTAGCTGGGCATAGTAGCATGAGTCAAAAGTCCCAGAATTCAAGAGGCCAAGGCAGAAGGATCACCATAAGTTGTACACCAGCCTAAACTAGTGTGAGACCATGTCTCAAAAAATTAAAAATAAAGCCGGTGGCACACGCCTTTAATCCCAGCACTTGGGAATCGGAGGCAGGTGAGTTCAAGGCCTCTGTGAATTGAAGGCCAGCCTGCTCTACATAGTGAGTTCCAGGACAGCTGGGGCTACAAGAAGACCTTGTCTCAAAAAGACAGAAAAAAAACCAAAAAACTAAAAATAAGGGGCTGGAGAGATGGCTCAGTAGTTAAGGACACTGGCTGCTCTCACAGAGGACCAGGGTTCAGTTCCCAGCACCCACATGGCAGCTAACAACTGTCCTTAACTCCAGTTCCAGGGGATCCAACTCCCTCTTCAGACCTCCAACTCCCTCTTCAGACCTCCATAGGCACTGTGTTACACCGGTTCACTTACATGCAGGCGATACAGTCATACAAGTAACATAAAACTTAAAAAAAAAAAAACCCCCCCCCAAAAAAAAAACTAAAAATAAATCAACTAAAGTTGGCCAGGCGTGGTGGTGCACACCTTTAATCTTAGCACTCAGGAGGCAGGCAGATCTCTGTGAGTTCCGGGCCGGCTGGGGCTACAGGGAGACCCTGTCTCAAAAAGACACCCCCCCCCAAAAAAAAACCCCAACAACTGAAGTTGTAGTTTATGGGAATAGTAAATTGTCAGCTACAGTCTTGGCTTCCAGGCATGTTCTATATAGTCCTGTTCAGCAAATGAACAGATAAGTTGACAACCATTTTAATCTGCTCCATGTCTTTGCTCTTTATGGATACTGAGGTACCAATGGT